ATGCTGGGATTAAAGCGTGTACCACCATGCCCAGCTTTTCATTTTCTTTGACAGACTTCCCAACAGTCCACTATGGACACAGTGGCCCTCTGAGTGGCAGGTGAGGATGGGGGAAGGAAAGGCTTCCCCAAGTGCCACCAAGTAACACAGGCTCTGGGGGACAGGAAGGCTCAGCGCCCACCTACTGAGGTCCATCACCCCCTCCATTTTATGGGTGAAGTCCCCGACAGAACCAAAGTGACACTGATCTTGAACCTCAGACCAGTGGTTCAGAGAGAGGCAAGGAGTGTTCAGGGACCACCTTAATAGCCCCTGCCAGCCCCTCCCAGTTCCAGCCTTTGCAACTCCCATCTATGGGGTGCAGAGGGCAGGATGGGAAGGGGTGACGGGGGGGGGAAGGCTGAGGTCCTGTCCATCAGAAGGGTGAGGAAGACAGTGTGAAAGAAGGGAAGGTGTCTGCACCAAGGTGCAGGACTTGGGGGCATGGAGGCTGCAGGGAGAATGGAGGGAGAGGCTGCTGAGTGTCAATCTGCCCCTGGGTGGTAGAAACAGCTCAAGAGATGTTCCAAGGCAACAGTTCACAGGACAGGGTGAGAATTTGCTTATAAGGTCCCTCACAGTGTCATTCGTCCTTGATCCAAACCACCCACTGACAGAACAGGGTAGCAGGCATGGTGGGTGGTGTGTGATGGGTGCCAGGCAGCTGTACACAGAACTGGCATTCATGACCACTCAGACGTCAGGAAGCCAGGAGATACAATGAGGCAGATGGTGGGCTCTGAACCTGAGGTCAGAGCTGTGGTGATGGGAAGTGGGCTGGCCACTCTGCTTCCAGAAGGGGAAGGCCTGTGGCCTGAAAGGGGTTCCAGGACACTTGTGGTTACAGTGGAAATGTTCCAAGTCTGACCAGTTGGCAATGGACATAGAGGTATCTAATATCCTGAAACCAAACACTAGTCATCATCTCACTCTATACAAGTTATACATTATACTTCCTTCTTTTATTATTGTTATTTTTTTTTGGACACAGGTCCTTATAATGTAGCCCAGTTAGACCTCCCAGGTGTTGGGACTACAGATCTGTACCACCATGCCTGTTCAATGCCTCTAAATGAAAAATAAAAAAGAAATAAAGTAGAATTATATACATATCTAACTATACTTTGCCTACTATAATTGAAAGAAAGAGGAGTGGTGATTTGAAATAAAGTAGGGGTGTTGCCTTGGCTTTTGAGATGAGCAGGGTAGGAGAGACTTTCAGTCCCCAGATCTACCTCAGCTCCTCACACTGTCTGTGACTTCTGTCTTCAAAGATCCAATTCATTTTGTGGAGGGAGTGTTGGTTAACATTAGTCAACCGCTCAACTGAATGGAAAATCTGTCCTAACATTCAAAGCCCAAGGGGACAGCAGAGGACCATGACAGAATGCTAATATGTCCTTCAATGTGGCATTTTCTTTGTGTGTGTGTGTGTGTGTGTGTGTGTGTGTGTGTGTGTGTGTGTGTGTGTGTGTGTGTGTGTGTAGGCAGTGTGTGTGTGTGTGTGTGTGTGTGTGTGTGTGTTTGTGTTTGGTGTGTGAGGGTGTGCATGTGCACGGGCAGGTGAAGGCCAGGGGACAACCTGAGACCCTCAGGTGTCATTCTTTGAGCTCCATCCACCTTGGTGGTCTTTATTTTTACACAGAGTCTCCTGCTGGCCTGGAATTCACTGATTAGACTAGGCTGACTGGTCACTGAGCCACAGGGATCCACCTGTTTTCACCTCCCCAGCTCTAGGATCTTCACCTCCCTAGCTCTGGGATTATAAATGCATGCCACCACAACCCAGCAATTTTATTTAAGTTCTAGGGATTGAACTCAGGTTCTCAAGCTGGCGAGGCAAGCACTTTACCCACTGAGCCACCTCCCAGCCCTGACCCACTAACTTTCCAGGCTAATATATGTGTAGGAATGTGTATACTTGAACTTCTTACAGGGCTGTGCACACAGCCTGATGAGGAAAACCATCCACCATGTGGGAATAAGACAGACAGATAACAATGTCTTTTCAAAGCCAAGTTTGAGCTGTGTCTAAGGAGTGCCAAGGGTCACCTGTCACTTCATGGGAATGTCACTTTGCATAATGTATTGTTTGCTCTATACAGACAGCTGTGAACATGGAGAAAATTAATAAGTTAAAATTATTTTAGCCTCTTAGAGGTATAAATGATGGTTTTCCATTAGGCTTTATTGTCCTATAGAACTGTAATTTTTAAAAATTTGCATTACATTTAGTTATTTATTTTATGCTTGCACGCATGGAGTCCACGTGGAGGTCAAAGGGCAACTTTCTAAAGTGGGCTCTCACCCTCCATCCTGTGGCTCCCAGGAATTGAACTCTAATAATCATGCTTAACTCCAAGAGAACTTTAATCAGTTTTGTATTTAACACAACAATCTTACTAACTTTCCAGAACATTTGTTATTTGATGGAATTCCTTCCTTCTCTTTTCTCTGTAGATGTGAATGCGAATTTTGAATACTTTTCACTGAACCTGTGGAGGTTCTTCTGGTCACATCCTTCACAGGCCACAAAAGCTGACATGGTCTAAGAAGTGTGTATTACACTTGCTTGCTTATTTATTTATGCGCATGTATGAGTGCTTGCATACCACAGCACGCAAGTGGAAGTCAGAAGACAATTCAGGTCACCAGCCTTGATGGCAAGTGCCTTCACCTGCTGAGACAAATCTCTGGCCCTTGATTTTGTTTTTATTGCTTTATATAGGGCCTCATATATAGCCCAGGTTAGCTTCAAATTCATACAATCAAGGTGACCTTGACTTCCTGATCTTTCCTGTTTCTGTCTATCCAGTGCTGGGATTATAGCCATGTGCCACTATACTTGATGTAATGGTATATCAAACAAAAAACCTGTAAATATGTGTGCAAATACTGCATATACAAATATCTTTAAGAAAACATTGCTAGGATGAAATTTGGGACCTTATACATGATAGGTAAGTCTCCAAGCTGAGCCACACACCAGCCTTGTGGCTCTGTTGTTTTTGTTTTTTTAATATTGATTTAAAGGGCTTGGGTATAGCTCAGTTGGTAGGGGACTTATCTAGCATTCATGAAGCCCTGGGTTTGATGCCCAGCTCTGGATAAACCAAGCACAACAGGGGCACACTTGTAATCCCACCATGGTGGCACACACTTTTAATCTCAGCACTTGGAAGGCAGAGGCAGATGGAGGTCAGCCTGATCTACAGAGCAAATTCCAGAACAGCCACAGAGAAACCCTGTTCAAAGAAAATAAAAGAAAGAAAGAAAGAAAGAAAGAAAGAAAGAAAGAAAGAAAGAAAGAGGAAGAGAGAGACAGAGAGAGACAGAGAGAGAGAGAGAGAGAAAGGAAGAAAGAAAGAAAGAAAGAAAGAAAGAAAGAAAGAAAGAAAGAAAGAAAGAAAGGAAAACTGAGAGCCAGGCGATGTGGCAACTTCCCCTAGGACTGGCTGCTAGGAAGTGGTGAGCTTCGAAACTGATTGCTGTGCCTTCACCTCCCTGTGGCCTGCCCTCTCTGTTCCCAGTGGCCTGTTGGTTCCTTCTCCTTTGACTTTTACAAGCACTTGGCCATGAACTCTTGTGTCTTCCCTAATCATGAAAAAGGCCCCCAAGTTATAGATTTGAAGACAGATTCCTTCTGCCTTGGTATTCTTTGCTCCTCTGGATCCCAAAACCCCACCCAGCTCTTGCCCAGTGTCCCCTCCTCACAACCATGGCGGGGATAGGAATCCCATGTCCCAATCTTGCTGAGGTCTGCTTAAAATTTCCATGCCTGGTGTCTGGCCCTGGGGAAGTTCAGGGGGCAGATTCCAAGAAGGGGAAGTGGGAAAGGATGTGAAACTTGGCAGCACCCTGGTGACACCCCTTTGCTGATGGTGGGGCACCCAACAGCAAAGGGCCAGAGCATCCAGTTTGAGCTGACCACGGAGGCAGGTGAGGCCAAGCCGGAGAGGGAGGGGGCTGGGAAAACAAGGTAGAGGGACCAGTCTGGACAACTGAGGCAGGGAAGGAAGAATATTGCTGCTAGCTAGTTCTATGCTGGGATGGATTGGTTTAGGACCCCAAGCAGATGGATGAAGGGACCCTATCCTCTGGCCAAAGCCTGGGGGAAGGTGAGAGAACCCAGACTCATGGTTCTAACAGAGTTAATGGGTCCTGTCTCTCTTCTGTCAAAAAAACACAGAAAGTCAGGAAGTGGCTGGGGGAGCCAGAGCCCAGCAGCTGGACCAGCAGAGGGCTTCGTAGGGACAGTCAGTCCTCATATGGATGTAGAAAGGGGGCCAAGGCTGCCGGGAAGCAGGCAGATGTCTGTGAAAGCCTGTGAGCATGCACAGCTTGCCATCTGGGCCGGAGATTGTAATTAAAACAGTGCTGACGCTTGGTAAATATTTGTTCAATGAGATCCATCATCCGTGGGAGTATGGGAGCCTGCGTGTCCACAGAGTGGGGGGGTCTATGTGGGTATCAGAGCATGTGCTGAGCAGGTGCAGGGGGAAAGGTGTAGAGCTTGGAGCTAGGGCTGGGGCGAGGATCAGGGTCAAGGTTAGGGTCAGGATCAAGACTAGGGTTAAGATCAAGACTAGGGTCAGGGTCAGGGTCAGGGTCCAGGTTAGAGCTAGGAGATAGGATTAAGGTTAGGGTTAAGTCAAGGTCAGGATTAAGGCTAGAGCTAGCTTGGATTAGGATTAGAGTAGGGACTGGGTGCTGGGTTGAAGGTCAGAGCTAAGGTTGGGGTTATAGTTAGGGCTAGGAGCTAGGGTCAAGGTCATTGTTAGGGCTAGGATTAGGGACCTATAATTGATCACAGGTGCTGAGGATATATGTGTATGTTTGGTGGACACCAAGGTCCCAGGCAAGGTCACAGAACCTTGCATGTGGGATTCTTTTGTGGGACAGATGTGTGATTCTGGGTGTCCAGCCTGCCCAGGGTTCCTGTGTGTCACTACAGGGACATCATGGAGGCCTCTTGGGGATGGCTGGTGGCCTGTGTGTTGGCCATGACCCTGGTATCTACAGTGACTGAGGATGTCTGCAGAGCACCCAATGGGAAGGATGGGGTCGCAGGAAATCCTGGCCGTCCAGGGAGGCCGGGTCCCAAAGGAGAGAGAGGGGAGCCAGGTAAGCATTCTCTCCTGGGGCCCTGGTCCTGCCATCCTCAAGGCAATGGCTCAGGAAGGTCCTGAAATGCAATGGTGTACCTGAGTTCCAGAAAGCCATTGCAGTGTGCAGCTCTCCCCAGCCTGAGGACCTAGGCTTCTCTGACACCTTGTCCCCAGCCTCGGACCTCTCTATGAGCCTTTCCAGCTCCGCCATGCTCCTTTCCCTTCCTCCTCTGCAGAACAGGCAGCATGGAGAACAATGTGCAAGGCCTTATAACAGAGCCCACGATTCTAGAGTCAGGAGCCATTGCCTTGTTGGTTGACTTCAAACAAGTTACAGACTCTCTGAGCATCCAGTTCCTCCTCTGTGAAATGGAGACAGAGCCCTGGTGGGATGTAGGGAAAAGTCAGCCCGTAGCAATGAGCCCTGCCTGGCAGTAAGAGAGACCAAAAAAAAAAAAAAAAAAAAATCAAGCTGGATGATGGTAGCATACACCTTTAATCCCAGCACTCAGGAGACAGAGGCCTCAGGAGACAAAGGCAGGAGGATCTCTGTGAATTAGAGGTCAGCCTGATCTACAGAGCAAGTTCCAGGGTAGCTAAGGCTACGCCAAGAAACCCTGCCCCCCCTCAAAAAAAGCATGTAAGAAAAAAAATCAGGCAACAGCAACTGCCCTTTGCATTTCCTTTTGGCTCTGTACTCCATCCCTGCTCCCCTGTCCACTCTACCCTGTCAGAACACAGCACCCTAAGGAGGATGGGGAGGGAGAGGGTTATGACCAGAGCCCAGAGCGGGAAGGAAAGGCCCCCTGTCATCCCCCGCCTCCAGGTCTCCAGCAGGCGGAAAGAACACACACACACACACACACACACACACACACACACACACACACACACACACACACACACAGACACACACACACCCTCGTGACCCCCCTCAGGCCCCAAAACTGAGAAAGGAGTTGGTGATCTGGAGACAGGTGAGGTGACAGCCATGGGCAGAACCCACTGAGCAGCCAGAGTGCCCCATGTTTCCTGGAATTCAGGGTCTGCCACATGACTGCCTTTGCTTCACACCATTTTTGTGGAAGAAGCCAAGACTCAGAGAGGTTGTCATGCTTGTCCAACTCCACACAGCCAGTCAGTCAGGCCCGTCAGACTCAGTCTCTTCAAAGCAAAGGCTCTTTCTATGAGGACTGGACTCCATACCACAATACTCCCATTCACCAATCTGCTCTTTTCACCAGGAGCTGCTGGCATCCGGACGGGTATCCGAGGCCTTAAAGGAGACCAGGGTGAATCTGGGCCCCCTGGAAAACCTGGCAATATGGGGTTCCCAGGGCCTACTGGGCCCTTGGGGAGCAGCGGCCCCCAAGGACTAAAGGGTGTCAAAGGCAATCCAGGCAATATCAGGGACCAGCCCCGGCCAGCTTTCTCAGCCATTCGGCAGAACCCCCCAACAGTTGGCAATGTGGTTATCTTTGACAAGGTCATCACCAATGAGGAGGGCCCATACCAGAACAAGACGGGACGCTTCATCTGTGCAGTGCCCGGCTTCTATTACTTCACCTTCCAAGTAACCTCCAAGTGGGACATTTGTCTGTCTATCATGTTCTCCTCCCATGGCCAGACCAGGAGTCCCCTGGGTTTCTGTGATGCCAACAGCAAGGGGCTCTTCCAAGTGGTATCAGGGAGCACTGTGCTGCACCTGCAACGAGGGGACCAAGTGTGGATCGAAAAGGACCCTGCAAAGGGCCGCATTTACCAAGGTACTGAAGTCGACAGCATCTTCAGTGGATTTCTCATCTTCCCCTCTGCCTGAGCTGGGGAGCCACCCCACATCCTGCTATCTCCTCCACTCCCTGCTGTGGGGCCCTGCCCTGCACCCCTTCTCTCTGTTAAGTGAAGGAGCTGGAGCCTGGGCTTTAGCAGCCCCGGGCCAGGGCTGGCTTGGAGGGCCCTGGGGACTAGCTCCTCTCTGCACGGCCCAGGGGTTTCTTCAAGTACTTTCTGGAATAAATGACCCCCATCTGTGTCTGTGTCTTGAGGTGTGGTGGTTGTTCTGGGCATTGGGCAGGAAGGAGGCATAAAACTGGCCATTGCTAACTGCTTGAGAGGCAGCAGTGTTAGCATTGTGCACAAGTGTTGGCAGGTGGGGAGGAGGCAAGTGGACACCAGCCTGGCTGCAATCTAGATGTCGGCCCATGCTAGCTGCCAGATCACATGGAGTAGCCTCAGTTTCCAAATCTGCTAAATGGTGCTAGTAACGGAAGTTCCATGGTGGGGGGCAGGGCTGCTGAGGACCAGTGTGTGAAAACTTCAGACAGGGCCTGTTGCTGTTCTGTTCTGATCAGACCTGCTAGCCAAGCTCCAAGGGGGGTATTCTTATTCTATCTCCAAGATGATGGCACTGAGACTGGAGCAGGGGACATCAAGCCCCGGGTCATCAGCTCAGGGGAGGAGCCGGGGTTGAAGTCAGGCTGGCTGACCAGCCCCCTCCCAGTTTTCCCAGCTGCACTGGACAAATCATACCGGTGTTTCTGCAGTCTAGCTCAGAGAGGGCAGAGAGTGGCTCAGGGACACTCAGCAGTCTTTCCCAGAACTGTTTTTCCTGAGTGGATTTCAGGCAAATATGGAGACTGGATTGCTGTCAGCTGACTGCTTGGCAGCCCTGGTGTGTGTGTGTGCACGGAGGGGGGGGACTGGGGGGTGGGGGGGGGGGTTGGGGTGGGAATCAGGATCCTGGATCCTCAAGTGTATTTCCACAATCACACAGTCTCATACACAGTCACACATGGAGGCTTACACACAGTTTCGCAGCAATCACACATACACTGACTCCTGCTCACACACATACTACCCTTGAGACTCACAAAGTCCCACATTCCTGGGCTGAGACTCACCTACTCCTCACCAAAACTTGGACTCAGGGACTTCCTCTCAGCACACTATGTACTGGAGGTACACACTAGTTACTTCTCCAAGCACACACACACACACACACACACACACACACACACACACACACTAGTTATTTCTCCAAACACACATACATGCATGTGCACACACAAACTCCTGAACACTTGTGGTAGATGTGCATGTCTCCACATGAACGAGAATAAGAAAACCTGCGCTTTCTCCCACACTAACCCCTACCCCACATGCTCACACTTCAGAGGCAGGGACAATCCCTCCTGTTCACTGGCTGGTGCATTTGGTCTCAGAGTTATCTCTGAAATGTCCTACATGTCCCTTTCCACATGCAAAATCATGTCTCATCCCTGCAGCCGAGAGCCTCTGAGGTTAGGAAGAAGTGGGGGCACTCCAGGGAGAGAGTTGGCCCCCTTAGCCACAGGCCACCACCACACGACCCTCAGAGCTCCTTGGCTTCTCGGTCCACTCTGCCCCCAGCTCTCCCTGACCCCTGAATGTACACCTCCACATTGATTTTGGGGACCCCATATGCTGGCTTTCCATAGCCACAGAGTGCAAAACAGTTGTGGGCACTGAGGCTTCATGAAAGGAGGCATGTCTCCAGTCCAGTCACCCTGCTGGAAGATAGAGGATCTGCATCTAAGCCAGGCTGTTTTGCCCCAAAGTGGAGGGCTCCTGTCACTTGTGGGGTACTGAGAGGAGGGGAATGTCTCAACTAGTAGCTGGGGAGGGTTAAAACCCCCCCTCTGAGCCTGCATTCCAGCCAATCTCACCCCTTCACCTGCAAATTTCAGTTCTTCTGAGCCTGGACGCTGAGCCAGGCAGAAAGGTGGGCGGGGTGGAGAGGGCCGAGCACAGACCGAGACTGCCACCTACTGGGAGAACTAGGCATGGCACAAAGGTGACCAAGACAGAGGAGAGCAGGTTCCATTCATTACTGCCATCCCACAATGCAGAGGCCACAATGCCTGCTGCTCCCAGCCCTGGGATGGTAGTGCATCCTCACCCTGGCCTCATAGACCATCCTGCACTACAAGTGGAGGGATTGTCAGAATGGCTGGGGGGGCAAGACCCCTCAGGCCACTTAGCTAGGCAGCCTCAACTGTTAGCATGGGCCAGGGTGTAGCATGCTCATGGTGCAGAATCCTCCCCACGCCCTACACAGGATCCCACCCAAGTCCAGGCAATAAGAGGGGCAAGGCTGGGCAGCTCTGCTGCCCCAAACTTCCTTCCATCCTAAAAATCCCACTTGAAGAAAGAGACAGGGAGATGCCTGACCTGACCACCAAAAGGCCTAGGGCCAGAGACAAGGGCCAGGATGATGGGAGTGTGGAAATGCATGGAGGTGGGGGGGCCCCTGAAAAGGAAGAGCTCTCATGTCCTGGCACCCCACATCCAGTGGGGAAATGGATCTGCAGAGCAGCGATTGTGCCTACTGATCAGGGAGTCCCCAACAAGAAAAAGCTGAGGCTCTGGCTCGATAGCCAGGCCAGCTGATGCAAAGCAAGCTCGCCCTGGCATCCTTCCCTGAGCCTGACAAAGGAATGGGTATGTGGATGTTTCTAGAATTAGTCCACCACTTGTTTCTGGGGAGCTGATGAACACAGGGGTCATCCTGACAACTGTTCAGTGTGTGACTTAGGGCAGACCTCAGTCTCCTCTTCTGGAAGAGGGACTAACCTCACCTCAGGGAGATGGAAGGACAATGAACCTCAGGCACGGTGAGTGTCATATAATGGCCACCCTGCCCTTGGGGACAGCTGGGCCTTGGGTTCAGGTCTAAACACACACACACACACACACACACACACACACACACACACACACAGAGGCAGACACGCTTCCTGCTGTTCCCAGGATGAGGAGATAGCAGACACTTCCTCATTTTATCACACGTGACCTAGAACCAGGGAAGGAAGGGGTGGACAGAGGTGTCACTGTGGTCAGCCTGGCTCAGAACCTAAAAGAAAGTGTGAAGTCAGGAAAAATTGCTGGAAAGAGGATGTGGGATTAGGGTGATGTGGGGGGTGGAGGGGCACCAGAGCCTGCTCTGGGCAGTTCTCTGTCCATCCTGACACAGTGTCCTCCTGTCTGGGAGAACAGGACATCTCTGTGATTAGGCCTGAAGTCCCCTGTACTCTCAGGTGAGGCTGGGACCCTGCCCCGGTGGGAGTGAGGCACAGTTCCCCCCCAGGCCCCTTCCTGAACCACAGGGCCAGAATTAGCTGTTTGCTGAGCCCAGACCTGGGCCTTAGAAGAGACGCAACTACCCACCCGTCCATCATCTATCTAACCATCATCTGTGGATGGGTGTGGACTCCCAGGGTAAAGGGCTATGGAGGTAGGGCAATGAGGATAAGGGCAAGAGGGGAGCTCAGCACTAGCTCCCCCTTCTCCCCACAGCCCCTCCTCAGGATGGATGTGGGGCCCAGCTGCCAGCCCCAGCGTGGACTCTACCTGACTCTGCTTCTGCTGGCTCTGACACTCAGGAGCCAGGCCAACACCAACTGCTATGGGATCCCAGGGATGCCAGGCTTGCCGGGAGCCCCTGGGAAGGATGGGCATGATGGACTGCCCGGGCCCAAGGGTGAGCGAGGTGAGTCTGTGAGCCTCTCTTTCCGCTGACTCTGGTGACCTTGTAGCTTGTTGTCCTCATTTGCCTCATCCTGTGGAAAGGGGTTAAGGAGAGCCCCTGTCCCTGCAGGCAGTTATCAGCCTGCTAACTATGCAGGTGGACACTTAGGGAAGGTGGTCCACCCTGGCTGCTTTGGGTGCACTGACTGTAGGGTCAAAGCCACACCCACCCACCACCTCCCTTCTTGCCAGCTTACACAAATGTCTTTAACCGCACAATACCTCAGTTTCCACATCTGTGAAACTGGTGCTGTGGTCCTTGCTTCTCAGGGTGTCACAGCTTGGAATAAGTTTGCGTATGTGGCAGGTTAGATGGTCTCTGCCAATCAAGAAGCAAGGGGCAAAGTAGTCAGGACTTCACCCAGAATGCTCTGATGGGTGCCCTGATGTGAGAGAAGGGCCAAGGAAAGGAGTGGGCAGCTAGGGTTAGGTAGGAGAGGAAGGCAGGTGTGGTGCTCCCTTCCCCAAGTGAGCATGCTTCTCTGGGACGTCAGTGGTACGTGGGCATGAGAGATGCTGGGTGTGACTGAACAGCGCTCATGAGGACAGAGGAATGTGGTGTGGGGGTCGGGTGGGGGTGGGGCTAAGGGAAGGTACCCTTAGGAATGTCATACTGCCCTCTTCCCCCTAAGCTACCAAATGGAATCTTGGGACTCTGGAAGGAATTAGTGTACTGTGACCTCCCTAGGCACTAGACTCAGCTCTGGTGTTCTCTGAGCCCACTGCATGTTCACCTCCCAGAGCAGATAAATGTCTCAGTCATGCTTTACAAATGGGAAAAGCGAGACTCAAATGGTTTGCTTCTTTCCTTTGCAAATGTCAAAACCGGCGTCGAGAGATCAAAGCAGCCAGCTCAAAGTCACATAGTGACTCTTGTCCCTATGTCCTTCACTACCCCTGGGGACCCTCTTCTGCTCCCTCCACCGCAGATTTGGAAAGTGAGACAGGGATGGACCAAGTTCAGGTCTTAGCAGAGTCCCCCCCCACACACACACCTCCCGGCCTCTTCTTCCTGGTCAGAGCCATCTGGGAAGTACAGGCTACATAGAGGTCATTGACAGACCCACTTGGGGTCCCCCTTCCTGTCTCCTGCCTAATCACTTCCTGTCTGGTCTCTCTTTAGGAATCCCAGCTATCCCTGGGACACGAGGACCCAAGGGTCAGAAGGGTGAGCCTGGCATGCCTGGCTATCGTGGAAAGAATGGCCCCATGGGGCCCTCAGGGTTGCCAGGGGATCCAGGCCCCAGGGGACCTCCCGGAGAGCCAGGTGAGGAGGGACGATACAAACAGAAGCACCAGTCAGTGTTCACAGTCACCCGGCAGACAGCCCAGTACCCAGCAGCCAATGGCTTGGTCAAGTTCAACTCGGTGGTCACCAACCCTCAGGGGGATTATGACACCAGCACAGGGAAGTTCACCTGCAAAGTGCCTGGCCTCTACTACTTTGTCTACCACGCATCACAGACAGCCAACCTGTGCGTGCAGCTGCTTCACAACAGTGCCAAGGTGACCACCTTCTGCGACCACATGTCCAACAGCAAGCAGGTCAGCTCGGGAGGAGTGCTACTGCGGCTGCAGAAGGGCGATGAGGTGTGGCTGGCGGTCAACGACTACAATGGCATGGTGGGCACTGAGGGCTCCGACAGCGTCTTCTCAGGCTTCCTGCTGTTTCCCGACTAGAGTGGCCAGCCAGATCCAGCCCCCAGGCCCCCCACCTCGACCCCTCTGCCTCCTCCATCCTCACTCAGACCCTTCCACACTGCTGACCTCTTCCTCCAGGAAGTCCACCTGGCTCCTGATCCATCAGCCGGCTGACTCCTCTGAGCTTCTTCAGGAGCCACCTGCTGGTCCCATTCCTGTGGCAGTTTACCAGTACCTTGAGACTGTTGGTTTGTCTCAGGTGGGGAGATAAATAAATAGATCACTAAATATACATGGCCCGGATTTCTCACTGGAAAGCCTTGAACTTGGCTTGTACAGTTTTGCTGAGTGAAGGGGTGGTTTGGGATGAATGAATGAATGCTGAAATGGGCACGGTAATGACTAAAAACAGAACAAATGAATGAGCCATTCTAAGCCCATACTAGCTAGCATGTAAGTCCTTCTCATGCATCCAGGTGCTTAGCACTCATACTCATGTTCTGAGATGAACGCGGATACGTGGATAAGAGAGAGGAGCAGCCCCCTGATGGCTGACACACAGATTCTAGGAATCCCAGGAGGCTGTCTAAAACATGGCTGCCCTTAAGCTGCCAAGTATGGGCTATGAAATTCCTGATGCCAGGGACTGCCCACTGCAGTCTTCAGAGGACCAGGGAGATTCATCGGGGACACCTGAGTTCAGAAAATGCAAAGTACTGACAAAGGTTAGAGAAACTAGCTCAGCGGTTAAGAGCGCTTGCTGCCATGCAGAGTTTGGTTCCCAGCACTCGGCAGGCAGCTTACGAATGCCTGGAACTCCGGGGTATCTGATGTCCTTTTCTGGACTCCACAGTCACCTGTACTCATAATGTACCATCCCCACCACACACTTAAAAATAAAGCTAAAAAAATCACAAAGTGCAACTGTCTGGGGCAGAGAGGTATGAAGGAGCCCCCCCACCCTCCAGCCTGGGAGAACCAGTCCCAACCAGCTGGCATCTCAGTCTGCAGCATGAGGCTCAGGAGGATGCAGCTGTGCCTGCACCCCTGGCACCAGGAAATAACAAATAAATAAATAATCCTCAACTCAGGTGAATGAGTGTTCTGGGGCCAGTTTGGTCCTTTCAGCCTGCAAAGAGTCACTTCACACATCCATGCCTTCACCCTGGCTGTCCTTCATGCTATAGAAACTATCCACACACCTTTGGGCAATGTCCTTCAACCAAGATCATCCTCCTCCCTGACTCCCCATGAGACCCCACAATGCCTCTCATAGGCTTGGACCCTGAACCTAGTTTTCAAAGTCAGGTAGTAGTGCAGAAAATCAACTAAAGACATTCAAAACAAAACTAGGCTTTTGCTTTAAGGCAGCAGTAGGTGGGCTGCCCTGAGTCTGGTGCACATGGTCCGTGGAACAGCTTTTGCCACCTCTTCATGGTTCAGCATTTCCCTCAGCACTGTGAGCAGCCCTGTGTGGGAATCCTGTGATGCCCCCTGGTACGCAGTAGCGGCTCAAAAAATGGGTGAGGTGGCACAGAGGGAAATAAAGATGCATAAAGATGCATACACACGTGCACAGGAGGAAAACACACACACACACACACACACACACACACACACACACACACACACTCACACACACATACACATACATACACATACATATACACATACACACACACCACACACATACACATACACACACATGCATACACACACACATACACAAATACACACATGCACACACATACACACACTCACACACACATACACACACACATACACACACATACACACACATACACACACACACACACACACACGCATACACACGCACACACACACACACAGCAGAAGGCCAGGGCTGAGGAACCCCACCTAGCTCACTGCATCTGGGCACTCGGCAGGGCCGGCATCCCCAGCTGTCCCTCCATCAACTACTTAGCAGTTCACCCAGCAATGCCCAGTGTGATAAATCTTTCTTCTCATTTTTCTTTGGCTAAAAACAAACAAACAAAAACAATGTGTTGCTTATGTCAGCCATGGAGTCAGAGCCAGGGCCTGTACTTGGGAAACAACAGGGTTTTTCACCCCCACCCTTCCCTCCATAATTGTTTCCTTGTCCTTGTTACATCAAGATGAGCAGACCTTGGAATATGCCAGCCTATTGGCCATGTGGGGGACGTGGGTTCTGAGGGCTGGGACAAGGCAGGAAGCACAGAAAGACCTTTACTGATTGTAGGGGACTTTTTTGGGCAACTGGGGTTTCTCTCCACATTTAGGTGTCACTCTTTATCAGGAAGTGAAGGAAGAGATACCACTTCTCACTTAGGGACCAAGGCTGAGGGACTCCCCCTCAGCTCCTGACCCCTAGGTATAGACCCCACCTGCTCCAAGCTTGGCTCCTCTTCATATGGATAGTACTGTGTCTGGGAGCACTTTGGCCCTGAACTTTTAGGGTTCCTTCCCTGTCTCACCAACAGCCCCAGGAGACAGGCTCCCCCGTCTCTGATGTAGAGCTGAGGGACCTCCAGTTAGTAATGTGCTTAACTGACATGATTGAAGAGCTGGAGTTCAAACTTGAGATGACCGCCCAAATCCCCGCTGCATCTGCTTCCTGTTCTCCACATGCTGCTTCTCCAGGTTCAAGTTCAGGATGAACCTGTCCTTCTGGCACTCGCTCCGGAACAAGAGACTCTGAGAGCCTAGATGGCATGAGACCCTCAGGAGGACGTCATGATGCACACCTGTAATCCCAGTATGCAGGAAGCAGAGACAGACAGGTTTTGAGTCTGAGGTTAACCTAGACTACATAGTGAGACTCTGTCTGAGAACTAAATAAATAACAGAACACGTAGCCCTCAGCTCTCTCTCCTCTTGTGGACATGGATGAGCCTAGAGACCTGGCTTCACCTTATTTACCCCCTCTTCCCCTGTCCTCATTCCCACCCATAGTTAACGCCCATGGTTAATGCCTCATCTCCATCCGCAGGCAACACTACAAGCCGAATACTGACCCCCCTCCCCCCCAAGCTCTCTGGCTTCAGGCCCTGCCCTGGGAGATGGCTTTTGAAACTCACCGATTTTCTGTGGCATTTACCACAGAAATACTCAATGTCCATCTCCAGCCTTCCCTAAAGGGACGATCCATAGGAAAGGACTCATTGCTACTCGATGGGGCCTTCTCCCCAGGCTATAGCTCACAGTAACCGGCCACAAATAAAAAGCTCGTAGACTCATGCCTCTGAGCCTCGGTTTCCCTGAATGTAAAAAGAGGGACAGGGTGGTCACAGTGACCTCCAAGCCTCTCTGCAGCTCTTGCTTGGTGTCGTCTCTAGACCCCCAATGCAGCAATCCCCTGCCTGTGGCTATTATTGTCAAGGGCTCTGAGCCCTGTTGGGAGGGGAATGAATAAGTAATGAATACATTTAAAATTCATTATTGGATTATTTTCTGAAGACAGAGAAGAGGGTAGAGGTGGAGAGTGGGAGGCAGAGAAGAGATAAGGCCAGAAAGGGGACATCTAGGACATGAAGTGACATTCACAATTCACAAGTTGAGTACTCTAGTTTGCTCTGTCCCATCTCCAATCCTGCCTCTATCCTCCTGGAGGTCTGTGAGAGCCACAGTGTATATAGCCATGGCTCCATCACATAGTGGGGGAAACTGGGGCTCCCCCGGGTTCCCTGTATTGAGAGCATTTAGCTGGCAAGTGGCAGGGTCTCTGGCTCTGAAGCCAGGGCACAGGCCTTAGATGGGCCTCTCTGCATCCATGGAGGAACATTAGTCCCCACAGAAGTCATATGCTCACGAGGCCCTGGCAGGCAAACAGACCACTGGGGACAGTCCCTAAGGACAGACTATTCCCCCCCTACCCTCACCCACCCGGATGCTGAGTTGACGAAACCATGTTGGCCATAGCCATCATTTACAGTAATTTCTGCCACAGGGGCAGAAACAGGACCTGAAACTGCCTGAGAGCAGCAGGATGGGGGGCAGATGGGTGAGAGAGTGGGGTCAGTCTGTTGGGCCTTGGGAGGGGACACCAAGGGAAGGCCCTTCCTGCCTCCAGGGACCCATACTTCCGCTTTCTGCAGACAGCAGCAGGCTCTGGGCTCTGAGAACCCACTGCTGTCTGGCCTGGAGCATTATAGGACATTAAGACTCCGTCCGTCTGTATTCAGGTAAGCACGCCAGGTGGATTAACTCGCCAAAACAGGCCTTGCTTCCAGCTATGAACACCTGAACTATAAAATGGTCTGAATTCTCAGAGCTCAAGCCCAGATCCACAGCACAGGCTCTCTGGGGTGAACTAGAGGTGGAGGTGTCTGTGGCTACGTGGGCACAGAGGATGGGTAGGCAGCATGTAACAGGATCACCTGGGATCTTTGTCTCGGGAACCATGGAGACTTAAACCAAATACCACTTCTGTCTCCTGCATGCTGGTCATATGCAGCCAGTCTTATAACCTCTCTGGTCCCAAAACCCCTTGGGGGAGAACAGAGCCTTTTATGTGAGCAGTAAACCCTGGCAGAGACCAAGCTTTATGCTGTCAGCAGGGCAGAGGCAAAGGCTGGATAAGAACCCAGGCCTCTTCAGTCCCATGTCGTCAGCAACTGGAGTTGGAGGTCATTGTTGGTTAGTCCTGAGTGACAAAATCGTATCTGCAAAGGATACATGCTACCCAAGGGACCTTCATCCTCCCTGTACCACCTCAGTTAATAAGGCTGACAGCCCTGGAAGCTAGAAATGAACCATGTCAAAGAGACCAGAGAAGTTAAACACTTGTCTGAGGTCACACAGCCAGGGAGCTGCCGACGGGAGTTCGAAGCTAAGTTGGTTTGGCCTATGCTACAGTAGAAAAAGAAGAGAGGCTGTTACAATGGGCTGGCAGAACAGATGGGTAGTCCAGCCAAGAGGTTTTGAAGGCCTCCCCACATCTGAGACTTGAGACCCCCTAACAGAGACTAGAGATTAACACTGTCCCCATCTTATGGAACAGTAAACTGGCTAGAGAGAAGTCCTGTCATAGCCCTGCCCCTGAACAGCTTGCTAAGTGTTTCTGGGAGGTATTTTCAAATGGCTGAGCCTCAGTTTCCTCATCTGTGAGATGGGCAGTCCATCACAATTCCCCTCTCAGATGCTGTGAGAATCCTGCTGTGGGAGCCACAGATTCTGTGAGAGCTCAGGGTTTCCCGTTCTCACCAGGGTCTTCATAGCAATGTGGGAGAAAGGCAGTGAACCATTTGTTCGGTGCACTGGGAGTAACCGGGCGGCAGGGCAGGGGGCTTCCTGGAGGAAAAAGCCTTGACCAAAGGCTTGCAGAATGGCTATGGTGGCCTGCTCAAAACAGTCCATGGCTTTCTTCTCAGCTCCCTGGGATGAGAAAAGGGCCACATAGCTCTCTCACTGAGTCACAGTCCCCTAGGAACCTCTGTGCTGTGCTGAGCCTTTGTGGTCTATTCTCTGTCTTAACTTGGGCCACACTATCTTTCCTCCTGCAACATTCAATTTTTATACTTATTTTATTACTAATATTTTTTAAGAATTAGATTTATGCCATGCAGTGGTAGTGCACACCTTTAATCCCAGAACCTGGGAGGCAGAGGCAGGTGGATTTCTGAGTCTGAGGCCAGCCTGGTCTACAGAGAGAATTCCAGAACATCCAGGGCTACACAGAGAAAACCTGTCTCAAAAAATTCATTAATTAAATAACAATAATACACTGGATTTATTCCTTTTATTTTGCCTGCATGTATGTATGTATGTATGTATGTATGTATGTATGTATGTATGTATGTATGTCTACCACATGCTTGCCTGGTGCCTGCAGAGGTCAGAAGAGGACATCAGATCCCCTGGAGCTTTAGTTATAGACAGTTGTGAACTGCCTTGTGAGTTCTGAAAATCGAACCTGGGTCTTCTGCAAGTATAAGTGTTCTTACCCACTGAGCCATTTCTCCAGCCTGCTATTTTTATTAGTTTTGATTATGTGTGTAAGTGTGTGTGTTTTGGGGTGAGTGCAGGTGAGAGAAGGTGTCTAAGGAGGCCAGAGATGTTGCATTCCCTAGAACAAGAGTTACAGGCATTGGTGAGCTGCCTCATGTGGGTGCTGAATACTGAACTCAGGTCCTCAGCAAGTATTTTTATTCTCTGAGACACATTTCTGGAACGTTCAGATCTCAGCCAAAACATTTCTTGTCTCCTGTGGAGAAGCCAGTCCTGCTGAGATAAGCCCCTCCTACCCCAGCCCATCCCCCTCCCTCAGGGCACCATTGTCCACCTTCCAGAGCACCCATCAGTTTGTGTCATTTCTAATCGTTCCTTCTTAGTAACAAAGGACTTTGGGGGCAGAGACCATCTGCCTTGCTGTCACTGTACCCTCAGGGTCTAGTGTATGAAAGGCATTCTGTAAACATATGGATGCAAGCATGCACACACACATGAATACACGGGTGCATGGATGCATAGGTGAATGCATGGGTGGATGATGGAATCAATGGATGGACGATTAAGTGGATGGACGGATGGATGGACAGATGCACAGACAGATGGATGGATGGACGGATGGATGGACAGATGGACGGGTGGTTGGATAATTGGGTGCATGCATTCCTAATACATGTGGATACAAGAGTGCATGGATGAGTGAATGGAGAATTAGATAGGCGAATGGCTGAATGGTAAAAATGAATGAGGAGAAAGGTGAATGAATGAATGGATGGCTGGAGATATGTATGGTGGCGGATAGAGAGATGACTGAAGAGATCAGGAGGTGATGAATAGGTGGGCAGACGGAGACTAGATGAATAGTTGGAGAGATGGATAGATGGGTAATTGGATGGATGGGTTGATGGGTGGACTGATGGAAAGAAGATTATTAGATGATGGATAGATGAATAGTTAGAGACATGAATGGATGGACAGATGGATGGGTTGTTGAATGGATGGATGAAGAGTTGGATGGCTAGGTGGAGGGATGGTTATTTGGAATGATGGATAAATAGACATCTGGGGAGACGGACAAATGGGTAGATGGGTGGGTAGATGCATAAATGAAGGGATGGGTTAATGGATGATGGGAGCTACCAAGGCAGTAACTTTCCACATGTTCTCACCCTATAGGAGTCCCCAGAGGTGGAACTGATGAAGACGTGGGGGTACATGGTCTCAACGCCATTGTTATTGCTGTTCCTGGGCTTGCTCCATGTCTCCTGGGCCCAAAGCAGCTGCACTGGGCCCCCGCGCATTCCTGGTATCCCCGGCATCCCTGGGGTTCCTGGCTCTGATGGCCAACCTGGCACTCCAGGGATAAAAGGAGAGAAAGGTACTGCACACATTGGAAACACACTAATGTTACTGGCCATGGCCACATCTTCTACATCCCGAATCACAGTCGTTTGCCTTAGAGATTGCACGAGAATTTGATACTCCAGTATCTTTCCAGGAAGGGCTTCTGTTTGCCCCTTTGCAGACAGGGAAATTGTGTGGGAAGGCAGCCCAGGTAGTAGTGAGGCTCAGGCCCAACAATGGATTCTCCTCCATGCTAGGACAAAGTGGTACAGTGCCTCAGTCCTGCGCTCACCCTGCCCTCCAGGATAAGCAGCCGTCCTCATCTGTAAGTCAGGGCAGGTGAGGACTGGAGAGGCTCCTTGCTATGAAGATCCCTCTAGAAATGTAGTTTCATTTAACCCATGAGCTATGAACCTCTCTTTGTGGCAACCTCTCTTCTCTCAGAAGCCCACTACATCCTTACAGTTTCTCAAAAATACAACCATCCCTATTTCATAGATGAGGAAGCTGAGCCTCAGAGACTGTGTCTCATTGTGTTTAGGCAACACAACTAAGAATGGCAGTCATTACATAGGACACGTATGTGTCTCTAGAGCATACACCCTTGGCACTGTGCTCTGATTTTCCACTGAAATATCCCTTCTGTCTTATGATGGCAGCTTAGAGTGATGACGTGAGAGAAATTTTACCATCCACAACTAGGTGTAGCTAGAGGAGTGCTGTGATCGATTAAGGATGTCTGCTATGGGCTAGGAAAGAGAAGAGATAGCATGTATGCTGTGAATTCATTGCCCCTGCATCAGGATTAAGCTTGACAAAGGTGTATATGCTGAGGACAAGAACAGGGCCCATATCTCCATGCGGGTGACACTTACTCAACCCCTGGGCGACTGTCAAACCCAACCCAGAACTAAAGATCTGGAGTAGAGGGAGACTAGGAGGCTCTCTGGCATGACCACTATTTTATAGTTAGTAAGTCAAACCCAGAAAGGTACAAAGTCCCAGCCCAATCTCTTCCTTTTGTCACAGTGACTTCTAGATTTCTCTTTTCTCTTGGTTCTTTTTCTCTAGGGCTTCCTGGACTGGCTGGAGACCATGGTGAGTTTGGAGAGAAAGGGGACCCAGGGACCCCTGGGATTCCAGGCAAAGTTGGTCCCAAGGGTCCTGTTGGCCCTAAAGGTGCCCCAGGACCCCCTGGAGCCCGTGGTCCCAAAGGTGACTCAGGAGACTACAAGGCTACACAGAAAGTAGCCTTCTCTGCTCTGAGGACCATCAACAGCCCCCTGCGACGGGACCAGGCCATCCGCTTTGAAAAGGCCATCATCAATATGAATGAAAACTATGAGCCTCGCAGTGGCAAGTTCACCTGCAAAGTGCCCGGCCTCTACTATTTCACCTACCATGCCAGTTCCCGAGGGAACCTGTGCATGAACCTCGTGCGCGGCCGGGATCGGGAACGCATGCAGAAGGTACTCACCTTCTGTGACTATGCCCAGAACACCTTCCAGGTCACCACAGGCGGTGTAGTCTTGAAGTTGGAGCAAGATGAGGTTGTTCACCTGCAGGCCACAGACAAGAACTCCCTGCTGGGCCTTGAAGGAGCCAACAGCATCTTCACTGGCTTTCTGCTTTTCCCTGACATGGATGCATGATCACAAGGTCAAATCATACCTATTCATGACCATCTCCTGCCTCCTTACCAACAATCCTCCCTGTACCCCTGACATCACCCCTGGTCTGCCCGAAGCGCAGGTCAGAGCTCTGTAGATGTTACAGAATAAATGGGTAAATAAACCTTGAAGGCCAAAGGACAGTGGTCTAATTTGAGTCTTTGTCCCAGGACCTGTCTCATAGGAGAGCTGAGAAGTGCTGGTCAAAGAATGAATGAACGAATTTTCACAGACTGGGGAGGTGTCTCAGTCAGTAAGGTACTTACCTTGCAAGCATGAGGACCTGAGTTCAATCCCTATCACCCACGTAGAAATGTTGAGCATGGCAGCATGCACTTGTATTCTCAGCACTGGGAAAGCAGACAGGGGCGTGGATCTCTGGGGTTCGCCAGCAAGTCAGTCTAAGAAATTAGTGGGCTCCGGTTTCAGTGAGAGAGCTTGTCTCAAAGGAGGTTCCTGAGAAATGACACCACATGTTGTCCTTTGGCTTTGCACATCTGAATGCACACTTGCTCATGAGCACGCACACACACATGCACGCATGCACACACGCATGCACACGCATGGTCGCACACATGCCTACACGTTTATGTACAAGTCTCCAGTTACCCAGAAATGAATGGAAGGCTCCGTTGTGGTTCTCTCTGGACCAGCACACCATGGAAGGCAGCACCAGCACATCTGAGCTCTGCCATTTTCCTCACTCTCCTGATACGGGATGCCCCATACCTTGCTGCAGAGGAAGAAAATAGGCTAGAAGATGGGGTGATTGTGATCCCGTGGAATAGCAGGGCTCCAAGTGGCTCTGTCTGAGATTTTTCCTAAGCCACTGTGTCTCCAGGACCCCTTAATGGTCTTTACTCTGCCCCTTCACATTCTGCCACTCTGAGATCAAGGGATCCCCCCCACTCTCTGCCTTGCATGCTCCCTCTTAGTGTCTTCCCAGCCTAGTGCATGCTCACTCAATCATTAAAACAAAAGTCATGTCTCTGCCCCAAAACCTCCAATAGCTCTCCAGTATCTGCAGGAAAGAGCCCCAGCCTGGGAGCCTGGACATCTGCAGCTAGTTTGTATCTTCCCTCTGGAACACTCCTACAATGGTAGTTCCTCCCCCTAGAAGCCTTCCACTCTGACGATCTAGCCACTCTTTAGACCAGTGAAGTTACCCAGGCAAGCCTCTTGTGTCAGCCTCCCCAGTAGCTGGGATTACAGGCTGGGCCAGCAAGCCCATCTGAGACAGGGCTGGGTAAGTCAGGGTGATCCCATCAGCACTCTAGGGCCTTCAACTCATGCAACTTGCACAGTGGGTGACCCCATCATAAGTGACCTGCCTGATGTCATACAGTTTGTAGGAGAAGAAGGCTAATGCCACATCATTCCGTGCTTCCCCACAGCGGGCAGGGCTCACCTTGAGGAGGTGTGTTGGGCAGTGAAAGGTGCTGGCTTTGGAGTCAGACAGACACAGGTTCAGGTATTGACTGAGGTTCTTAGCAACTGTGACTACAAACAAGTGACTACCCTCGGGTGCCCCATCTCAACTCCTTCTAAACAAACAGTGGAGCAACAACATCCTTGACTCCTCTGTTGAATTAATTTCCTAGATATAATCTCCCTTGTCAGGACAAGAACTTCCTTGGCTTTTTAAAAATGAGTTTTCTTTTATTTTTAATTGTATGTATGTGTATATGTACGTGTGTCCAAGTGTGGGCATGCGCATATACTTGCAGGTGTCTGTAGAGGCCAGGGACATTGGATCCCTGTAGTGCCTGAGGAGGAAGAGATGGAACAGAAGCCTGCCAATCAGCAGGTGGACCCTATGAAAAGCTAGAATTCCTTAAATCTCTCCTTGGGAACAGGATTGTTTTGGGGAGGAGCTAACAGGAAGGGGTTAACAGGTAAGCCTATGGCTGGGCTCTTACTCTTATGGTCTTGACCCCTCAGGATTCTATGTAAGTGGCATGCACCTGGGTCAGCCAGCTCATACCCGACCTCATGAGGGGCTGAGAAAGGAGGAATGAGAATAACCCCTGCTTTGGAGAGGAGGTGTGACCTGATTACAGGTCTAAAGGGTGACTTTAGCTACCAGTGTTTGCGGGCCATCTGCTTCGGGTGCTGGGAACAGAGCTGGGGACCATTGCAAAGGTAGTGTAAGCTCTTAACCGCAAAGTTCTCAGTCTATAGGCTGTGGCCTCTTTGAGGCTCAAATGACCCTTTCATAGGGGTTGCCTAAGACCATCAAAAAACACAGATATTTGCATTATGATTCATAACAATAGAAAATTATAGTTATAAAGTAGCAATTAAAATAATTTTACAGTTGGGGTCTCCACAACATGAGGAACTGTTTTAAAGGGTTGCAGCTTTAGGAAGGTTGAGAACCACAGTCTTAACCGCTGAGCCATTTCTCAAACCCTGAGGTTTTTTGTTTTATTTTATTTTTTTAAAGATTAAAAAATCCATTGTTTTACCTCATATGTATAAGTGTTTTGCCTGAATGCATGTATGTATGCCATGTGTGTGCCTGATGCCCACTGAAGTCAGAGAAGACATCAGATCCCCTACGACTGGACTTATAGATGGCTGTGAGCCACCATCTGGGTGCTGGGAACTGAACCTGGGTCCTCTGGAAGAGAAGTCAGTGCTCGTAACTGCTGAGCCATCTCTCCAGCCCAAGACTTACTTCATTTTTTTTTTTAAAAAAAAAGGTTTATCTGTGTATGAGTTCAGGTACCCATGGAGTCCAGAAGAGGTTGTCAGATCCCTGGATTTACAGGTAGCTGTGAGCTACTGGCTTGGGTGCTGAGGACCAAATTTAGGTCGTTTGCAAGAGTGAAATGCGCTTTTAACTGCTGTGCCGCCCTCCCCAACTGCTTCCTTTGTATTTTTGGAGACAGGATCTCCCCGTACATCCCAGACCAGCCTCAGATCCACAGAACTCCCTGCTTCAGCCCCCCTAGTGCCAAGATTGCAGGTGTGCACAACCATG